AAATTGTATATAAAGAAAAGAACAAAGAAGTTCTATCTCTTATGGATCATTTGCATATCCTCTCTTTAAATTCTACAAGTTGTCTTGCACTGATGAATTCTTGTTGGTTTTTCACATTTGGTTGTTCTTCTATATCTCTATGTTGTAGCTCCATTTCACAAAGTACTCTTCTAGTTTATCACATAGTCCACAATCATTGCACCTTTTAGAATTATCTTGAGTATAAAAAATTGTATAAACTTGGCTCACCTCATGACCCCCGATATATAGATCAGGGTTGAGGTTTAAGCATGATAGAATTTGCTACATACATAACTATACAAAAAATACAAAAATAATAACAATATCAACGTCAAGCTTTTATCTCACTACGTGGGATCAGCTACATGAATCATTTTTCTCCATTGTCTTATTAAGAGTCAATACATGACCATACAGAAACTAAGAGAAAAAAAATGCCATAGTCAAATAGTTCAAATAGAATGTCCAACTTGAAGTAATCTACTCAAAACTAATGAGAAATCACCCCCTTGAGTAGTTTCCCGGCCAATTTGATGAGTCATACTTGCCAACTTGGGACTAGTTCATATATCATACTCGCCGCTTGAGGCTATTCCAATTGTAGACTTAGATCATCTCCAACCGAAAATCTCATTTTTCACTCCAAAATGCCGGAAATTACAAAATGCCATGATTTCATCTCCAATCGAATGCATTTTTCACCCTTTTGCAGGTAACCGTCGCGTCTTTTTTTCCCGCGACAAGTTCGGTAGAGTGGTAAAAATGGCGGAGATGAACAGTGCAACGTCAGTATTGGCGTCCCACTGTTCACCCGCAGCCATATAGCAGAAATTTTGCAGTTCGGCTGGAGCTGTCCGGGAGCTCCATTCAAGAGTTTGGAGTTCATTTGGAGATGCCCTTAGAGAATTTCTTTTGATCTATGACCAAATAAACCGATCGAGCTGATTCAACTTGAATAAAACCGACATGGCATGAACCTATCTTTCTAAACATTTGTTTATAAAAGTAGAGCCATATAAATAAGTTGATAATTCAGTTTGATTCTTTCTAATTTGATAGCTCATAAGAAAAGGAAAGTTCTCCAAACTGTTTGATGCCAATTGTGTAACAGATCATCTTCCATGTAATATTTTCCATTTTGAATGTGAAGAAGGATTATTATATCTCAAAATTTGTATGATTCTATTTAACGTGCACTCATGTTTGTTTATGTGCTTTTGAAAGTGATTAAAATTGAGTTCTGGAACACTCTTTCAATGCCCATTTGTCAAACTAGGAATGAGTACTGAGTTTTTTATTTATTTAATTTAATTCAATTTCATAAATATTAAAGCCAAACATTGTAATTAACTACATATCATTAAGTAATTATTATTTCATTAAGATTAACGTCAACATTTTAATATGATATTAACAACTAATTGAATATTTTCAATAAATTATTCTAAGTTTTCTATCAATAGATTATTAATAATATATAATCAGTATGCATTTTTTATTTATAATAAATAAAATTATTAAAAAAAACAATTAATGAGATAATGGGTACAAATGTAACACAATAAAAAATGATTTTTTTCAAAATAAATAAATTTTATTAAAAATTATTTTAAAACTCAGCCATTTAATTCAACTATATATTAGTATTTTGACATAGTTATTTGAGCATAAAGTAAATATCAAATTACAATATTAATAAAAAATTTAGATTAATTTATTGATAACAATCAATTAGTTGTTAATATTATAATTTAATGATAATTTTGTCAGGCCAGACCAAAGCCAAAAATTAGCTAATTAAATTGTTTGATGTTAATCTTAATGAAATCACAATTAGGTAATGACATTTAGTTAATTAAAATGTTTGACGTTAATCTTTATGAAATTGAATGGAAATAAATAAATAAATAACTCAGCCGTTCATAATTTGGCAAAGTGGCATGTAATTATAAATTTAAGAATTTTAAAAATTATTATAATTATTTTTTATTTGAATATTCTATACAATTTTTTTTCAAAATATTCTCATGAAAATATCCATCATACACATATTGTAAAAACTACTAGTTGTTTAGTCTCAGATTACTTAGGAGCTTCATAATGTTTTGTTTATATACATTTTCTTGCATCCATGGGCTAAGAGCTCATATGAGGTGATAGAATCATGTGTATGATTGACTAGTATTTAATACATAATACTATAAAATTTTTGGAATAATATCATTAAACAAAATATACTATATTAAAATTAATTTAATATTAAAAAAAATATTTTATATTAAATTAAATTATTTAAATATATTATGAATTGAACCAGCAGATCAATAGTAGCCTAGTACAGGTATACGGTCAAACCGGCCGATCCGGTCCAATTTTAAAAAAACATGAATGATCAATAAGTTTTACATGATGATTTCTTGTCATACACAACTCCTAAAAATATTTCATTCCAATATTCAACATAATTGTATTGGAAAAAGGTATCAAAGGATCACAAAAGAAACAAATTCTAAGAAAAATTAATCAAGATATGATCGACAGTCATTAAACTATCAATTAAAATAGCAAATGCTGGTTATATTTTTTCAATATCCTTGATATATCCTCAAAATTATCTTGATCGGGCACGAATCTTGAGGCAAAATCAAGCTGGAAACTTCAAAATTAAATCAGGGTCACCTGAACTCCGATTTCAGCGAACTTATAGTCAAACTGAGCGTTTCGAAAATAAAAACTCAACGACACCAAATTCGACCCAATCCGAGCCCAAATAAGTCCAAATCAAGCACTCAAAGCGCTGTTGGAAAGTTTAAACCATAATTTGAGTTACCAAACGGTTTCCAAATATGACGTTCTTATAGTCGAATCGAGCGGATCGACGAGACGAATCCAACGAGCCCAAGATCGTCTAATTCCAACATCATTAAGACCTTCAAATGTCTGATGAACGGTGCACGATCAAGGGATTCAATATCAACCGTCCACGACCACTCCCTATTTGCCCATGATCTCACACCTATTTACAATCTATGCCACTCCAGAATATTTTTAAATAGACCCCTCATTTCTCATGAGAGGGGGCCCAAGCAAGAAGAAGAAGAGAAGGATAGGAGGGAATAACTCATTCTCGCCACCGCCAGAGTTCTACCCGACGCCGGAATTCTACCGGACTTCCGAATGTCGCCGGAGTTCTGTCCGATGCTCAAGGGACGCTAGAGTTCTACCCGACGCCAGAATCCTGCTCAACTTCGAAACGACGCTGGAATTCTGCTTGACCTCCGAAGGACGCCGACATTTCGCCCGATTTCCAAGAGACGCAGAAACTCCGCCCGACATTGTAACTGAATTTCAATTCAAAAGTGATTCATTGTAATCTGATCGTCCTAACTTTTGTGGACAAGTCGGCCTCTTGTATCTCAAGAAAAACACTAGTGGAACTTTTTCAACTGGGTGTGACCCCGTGGTTTTTTCCCATTCAGAGTTTCCACGTAAAAATCCTGGTATTTCTATTTCTTCCATGTTTGTGTGCTAGATATCTGTACGCTAAAACAAAAATTTTCTAACTCTATCGCCGTGTATATTCTGAACTTTTATTTGGTCCGGTGAACGTACGCAACTGTACGTTCGGCCGCTAGTAGAATCGTGCCACGCGTTTTCATTATTTACCGCGCGCCCAGACAACCTGACCCGGAACAGACCCAATATTGCTCGGTATTGCTAGGTATTGGTCGATTTTGCTCGACAATAACCAATACCGAGCAATACCGAGCAAATACCTAGCAATACCGAGCAAATACCGAGTTGTACCGAGTTTTTTCTAGCAAAACCGAGCAAATCCCTAGCAATACCGAGCAAATCCCTAGCAATACCGAGCAAATCCTGAGCAAATACTGAGTTGTACCGAGTTGTAAAAAAACTCGGTACAACTCGGTATTTGCATGGTAGTGGTCTTCACAGAGCGGTATTTCTCATTTTTGCAAAGCAATACCTAGCAAATACCGAGCAATACCCAGAAAATCGCGAACATAGCATTCCCGGGTTCCGCTCCGGGTCAAGTCGTCGGGCCGCGTGGTAAAGAGTAAGAGCACGTGACGACATGCTATTGACGGCCGAACGTAGCTCTACGTCCGATCAAAGGACGTAATAACTGTTCGTATATTCTAGTCCGCAACAATCCTAAAAAATAATGAATTTATAATAATGAGAAACAACAAAGTTCAAAGAGAGAGAGAGAGAGAGAGAGAGAGAGAGAGAATAACCGGCATCCCTATTGAAGAAATGCAAGCTCATGTGTCCTCTATTTTCTTATTCCTTATTCTCTGAAGCATTATTAAGTTGACTCTGGAATATTATTTACGAACCGAGACAAAGCTCAAAATAGTTGTCTGATAATTAATTAATGTCCAAATTAATTTCAAAACTTTATATTGCTCCAATTTAATCTCTCAACTATTAAAAATTGAACCAATTTAATTACAAAGCTTAAAATAAGAGTTAAAATTAACTCCAAAGTTAAATATAAAAAGTGTTTTTTATATATATTTTTTTAAAAACAAAATCTAACATGATAAAAATTACAATTAAATTAGATTTTACTTAAAAAAAATATATCTAAAATACACTTCATATTTAACACTGGAATTAACTTTAACTCTTATTTTAAACTTTGCAACTAAATTAGACCAATACGAAACTCTGTGATTACATAAAATATTATTTATCAATAATCTACGGAATATTTTGAGCTTTTACTCTTTACAAAAGTTTATTGTCCAAAGGCTTTGGCAGCCCTTCTCTCCACTCACACAAAAAGAATAAATACTAAGAAAATACAGCTCAAAGATACAGACAATATGGCAACTTCTTCCAAACTTCCAATATAACACCACCTTATTCTTCCATGACGTGAACAGCTTCTATATATTAAGAAGCCATTTAGTTTATATCACAAGCTTCTGAACAGAGCCACTTTTATGCTACTGATTCTCCTGCTGGTAATAGCCGGTAGAGATGGCAGAACCTTCATCGCCTTTTGACAAAACTTCTTCAAATTCCTGGAGTTTGTCATCCATCATCGGTGATGAAGGCGGCGCTGACACCATTGAAAATGATCTTGGTGATCATAATGATGAGGAGTTGCAGCTTCAATGGGGTGCAATCGAGCGACTGCCGACGAGGAGGCGGCTGAGATTGTCCCTCTTGAAGCTTCCTGAGGGCGAGCATGGCATCATGAGAGTTGTGGATGTCACTCAGATAGAAGCAGTAGAAAGACACCTTTTCATAGAGAAGCTTGTCAAGAATGTTGAGGAAGATAATCAGAAATTGCTGAAGAAACTTAGAGAAAGAATCAGAAGGTATAGTATGGTTTCTTCTTCTGCTTCTTTTTTTTTTGATGATCAGGCATATGAAGTCTGTAAAAAAAAAATTAGAATAGTTTTGTTATTGCTTAAGCATGTAAGAAATAAAAAAGTGATCTACTAGTTAATAAAAGCCTACTTAAAATTTATTTTTATACATGTATTTTATCAATTAAAAGAAGCATACATACTTTGAATAATAGAAACTATCTTTGATAAAATTCCTTTTTTTTTTTCTAAATTTCTACATTAGTGGATGCATCAAGACACGCAAATTTTTTGTAGAGTGGGAGTGAAGCTGCCAACAATAGCAATAAGATACAAAAATCTTTCAGTGGATGCTCGATGCGAGGTAGTTGATGGGAAGCCACTCCCAAGTCTATGGAACTCACTCAAGGGAACTTTCAAGGTACCTCCCTTCACACATTCAAATACCTATGTTTTCGATAAATTAAAGCTCAAAATAGTCCCACGATTATTAATAAATACATAATTTAATCCCAAACTAATTTAGCCGCCCTAATACTCCGAATATGAGGGTATTTCTATTTAAATATGAGGGTATTTTGGGTATTAGGGTGTATGTGAGATTATATTATTATTATTATTATTATATATTGTCATTTATTAAATTAAAATAAATACAAAAATCATAATGAAAGTTAACCAAGTTTCACTCTTGTTATATAGTTGGTTAATTTCCATTATGATTTTTATATTTATTAGAGATTGATCCTCCTCTCGAGTAGAGGATCACTTATATCTTGCTTTTTGTGTGTTGTGCTTTGTTTCCCTTATTGCAATCTACTATTTTGGGGGCTGTTTTCGCCCAGTTTTTGCTTATTTTCTCGGTGTTTTCCTCCAATTAGTGATAGGTTTGCTTGCAAACTCAAGTATTCCCTTAGGGTTACTTGCGAACTCAAGTATTTTCTATCAAGAAGTACCCCTCAAACTTAAGGGAAACTTCTATAAGAAGATGGTGAGACTTGCAATGTTTTATGGCGCATAATGTTGTCCAGTAAAAAAGAGGCATAATATTAAGTTAAGTGTTGCAAAGATGAGAATGCTCAGGTAGATGAGTGGGCTTTACTCTAATAGAAAAAAAAATTGAAACGAGTATATACGTGAAAAGGTTGGAGTAGCTCCAATGGCAAATACGATTAGAGAGAGTTAACTTGGATGGTTTGGTCACATAAAACGGTGGCCTTCCAATGACCCGGTTAAGAGAGTAGATGTATTAGATTCGACTTTTATTAAGAAAAGTAGAGGTAGACCTGAAAAGACTTGGTTAGAAAATATTAGAAATGAGCATGGTTTAAAATTGCGCAATATGAGGCCCGCCTTTGCGCAATTCTAGTAAAAAACGCCTCGATGCTTACGCCTCGAGTTTTTGTTATGTGGCTTGCGCCTCAACTTGGTTGAGGCCCGCCTTAAGGCCCGCCTCGCCTCACTGGCATGAAGCTTACGCCTCACGCTATATATATTAAAACTTAACGTAAATCTTGAAGTAAATGCCCGACATTGGACTCTACAGGAAAGGAGGAAGGGGAGAGAGCAGTTCATCATAATGATGATTCAAATGAAGAACCCCTTAGTGATGACAGTGCTGATGATTTATGAGTTCTTATGTGATATGTCATTGCTATTTATTTTTAGAAATTGGAATTATATGTTAATGAAAAGAATACTGGGATTTGGGAAAGATAGAATTTTGAGTTGAACTATATTTCATGTTGTCTTATTATTGAGATATTTTGATTTCACTTCATATCTTATGCTTTTTTATGTTTTATATTATTCACTCATTAGTATTTAAAAAATTTATCATTTTATGTTTTTACGCAATCTTTTGATTTTGAGGCTTACGCCTCAAAACGCCTTGAGGCTTACACCTCACCTCACGAATGAAAAACGCCTCAATACCCGAATACACAATTTTAAACATTGAATAGAACAGCTCTTGCTTTCGGTTCATTCGCACGCAAGCTCTCTCTCTCTCATCTCTTTCTGTCGCACTTAGCAACAAAGCCAAGACTCCCTGGGAAATTATTGGGTTCGGACACCAGATGACGTCCAGAGCCCAATGAAAATGCGCCACATCACCTCTTACTCGGTACTGAGCTTTGTATGAGCTCGGTACTCCACAGTACCGAGCTCAGTGCGGGTATTCCATAGTACCGAGTTCAGTATTAAGTACCGAACCATAACCTATGTCCGATGTCCAAACCCAATAATCTCTCCTCGCTTCTCTCCGCATGCAGAAAATCAGTCGATCTCTCCCAATCTGAACTCACGCACATAGGAATCGCAGGCAAAGCCTCTCGTCATCCTTCCCGATCTCTCTATACCGAATGCAGGAAGCCACAATCGAGCCCGCCTGCATCGCACAGCAATAGACAATAATCCGCACGTAGGAGCTGCAACCAATCCTCTCTCTCCCTCTCCGGATCTCTCTGTATAGCGCGTCTTCAACCGAGACCGCACATAGAAGTCCGGAAAGAGCGACCTCATCCGCCTCAACCACCTCTGCACGACCACAACCCTCTATGCTGAATTACATGACGATAGTTGCAACCCGAGCGCAATCGGATCTCGCATGAAACATGTCTATCCTCCTGCAGCACTTGCCGACCCAGCCTTCAACTTGACTTCCTTATACCGCACGCAGATCCCAGCCCGATCCCCTACATCCTCTCTCACTCGATCTCTCTGTGCAAGGAAGACTAATTCGGCTAACCTGACCCATTCAACTCATGCCTGATCCAGTTCGATCTGACTCGATCAGCCCGAGCAGATCCGATCAGGCTGATCTGACCCGATCAGATTCGACTCGTGCAATCATTTAAAAATTTCTGATGATGACCGTGTTGATAGGAAATCTCAATCATAGAGGATCCTATTTTCAAAATATTTAAATAGGAATGCAAAATACAGAAATTTAAAGTAACTTTAATGTAACTTCAATGATAACCGTGCTGATGTAAATATCAATGTAAGGGGGTCAATACTAAAATTCTATTAAAATTCTAAAATTCAAAATCAAATCAAAGTCTGAATTTTTTAAATGAAATCTATTACCTAAAAACTTAAAACTAAAACTCATCCATCTTCTACAACTGTTTGTTTGACGTCTTAATAAATTTGAAATTAACCTCAGCTCACAAAGAAAAAATATCGTGTCAGGTGTATCACTAAGATTCATTCTCAAATAGTCTCTCGCTAGCAGCGACGTGGCACGTGCCCTCTTATCGGGTGATTTTGCTGCAAAATGATGCCACTATATTACAATCACGACCAAAGCCAGTATGTTCTCTAACGATTTGAAGTTCTTGAGTAATGAATCATATGATATATTTGATAGACATAAAGCCCCTTTGTCAGCTAAGGTAAACTCAAGTGTATCTCCTTAGACAAATATCAGCCCAGATCTACAAGATGTATTTGAACGAAGTAATCCATGGATGCCGATTAGATGTCTTCTGTCAGGTTGGGTCGACTACATCTTCTCACTAAGTAGACCAGAAACCATAATAGTCACGGATGACGGAACTATGAATCTTAATCGGAATCATCTCATTTCCCACCTCACCCGTTTTAAGCATATGATGATAAATTTAAAATCTTAAAAATTCTCAACACTTGAAAATTCAATCCCTAAAATTGCTGCTACTATATGCTAGGTACTTGGTTCTTATTTCACAACTAGCCTTAATTGAAAGTTCTCTCTCGTTATCGAGAGGGGCAGTTAACTATAGGGGCTTGCGCCTATAGAAAATCAGAACTCGGATCATAAAATCCTCGCAAAATGAGGGTGAAATCTTTGGGCAGTGTCTTATCTAAAAACCCAACCTGCCTTTTGAAAATTTACCTTGGAACCTAGACTCATTAAAACTCTCCCTATCAAACAAAAGACATGCATGCATGGAGAGGTTGAGGTGCGAATTTTTGGAGCCCTAGATATTTATTATATAAAATATTCAAATTAATTTATTTTTTATATTGGGAGAAGTGGGGCCTACCAGTTACATCCATTAAATGTTAATTATGCCGGCCTATTAATAATTTTGTTTGTTTAATATATCATAAAGTTGCATATAAATGTAATTTATTTGCTAATATGCAGGGACTCACCAGAGGCTGTCGAATCAACTCCAGAGAGGCTGAAGTTAGCATCCTGAAAGATGTTAGTGGCATTCTCAAACCTGCAAGGTATAATTGAAATTAAGACGCATTTAAGAAAAAAAAATTAAGTGTTGATTTAATGAGTGAAGAACAATAATGTTGTTGTTGAATATTTATGTGATAAATGACCAACAATAGGTTACCAATTTCGTGAATAGAGATTTGAATCCCTCAATTATGAACGATAATTCACAAATATGAGTAAATAATTAAAATGGCTAGATATTTTTATAATGAAATTATGAAACGGAAAAAGTGAAAGCATCGGAAAAGGACAATTTTAAATTATTTTTAAAGATAGTGGATATATTACAATGGTTCATCCTTCTTCGAACTTAAAGAAAGCATCAATTTCAAGTAAAAAAGAAATAGGCTTAACTGGTATCATAGATGTTGGTGATGTAATAAGTTTGATTTTTGAAATTGTCCTACTCTTGGAAACGAATGTAGCAAGAGCCACCGGGGTGGATGAGGCAGTATAGGCAATTCGTTTAAGCCACTAAAGATGAATGGAACAAGTCTCCTTCACTTGAGTGTTAAGGCAGCATAACCTTTGGGTAGAAAGGGTGCAGTGCATGAAGATCATGGTGGTCACTTAGGACAATCAAGACAGTTCTCTTTTTTAGAAGTGAGAACAATGTGTTTTAGATGAAGCAAAGGAGGTAATGGAGGTGACTAATGTCAATCAAAGCAGGCCTTCATGAGGTGAAAACATTTTGATTTGAAGACAATGGGCAAAATAGTGCAAGAAGGTCATGAAAATGTAGATGTCATGTTTGAGAGTGGTGGGCAAAGCAACAAAGGTTGGTTGAGGAAGCCATTGACAAAGGTTGAGCACATCCTCATCTTAGAGATAAGGTAGAATAATATTTCAGTGATAGTTGAGGTAGAGTTTTAAGGATAGAGAGGCCACCGAAAATGGTTTAGACATGTCTTCTCCAAGAGGCGAAGGCAGCGATTGTTGAGGTAACGTTGTGTTTAAGAAAGTAGCTAACAATGACTTAGACAATTATCCCCTAAAGATAAAGGAGGATGACAAAGCGGCACAAAAAGATCGTAGAAGTTATTAAGGGTATTCAAAATGGTCCTTCTTGAGGTAGAGATAACATGACCTAAAGGTGATTAGTGAGACAACAGAAGAAAGTTATGGAAGTGATTAAGAGCAATATGTACAGTCCCCCTTCTAGAGGTTGAGATGACCCAATCTAAAGGTTGTGGATGAGCAACCCAATAAATTCGTGATAGAGATTGAGGGCTCCTCCTTATTGGCCTCCTTTTTGGGACAAGTCACAATTTTCAACTTGCAATTGAGCATCATCCCTAATTACCCTTCACAATCTTATGATGTATAGGTGCTTTAGAACCCGTTAATGTCAACCCTATGACCCATAGGTGGAACTAAGATCTTTATGATCGCCCATGACTCATTACTGGCATTGAGATACACCCTTATTATCTTGAGATCCTACTTACAACATCTATAAAGTATGCTCAAACCTAATGAGCCCATGGAAGATGGTCTGGGTGCCTTTATGAATCAAACATGTCAATTGAGACATATCCTAAGCCACTATGGCATACCTAACCCCACTTGATTAAATTGGTGTAATGTGCAGCCAAACAAGACCCTTTACTTATATGAGGACACAGTTAGAATCCATGCCCATCTAAAGGTCCCTCTGACATAAACTAAGACAAAATCAAATTAAATAATAAGTGACCCATTTTGAAAACTTAAACCATTAAGCGGCTCCTCAAACACCTTGGACTACTATAGGCCCAAGTCACTCATCCTAGCTGATCAAGCTTCTCACATTAATCATGATACGATCAAACCCATTCTAATTAGGCCATGCACTTAGGTTAGACCTGTGATTAGAACAACCAAGCCTATTAAACCCACTTAACTCATTTGATCGAATTAGGTGCAATTGGACCCATCAGGCCAAAATTGTTACATAAGCTCAATTTAGGTTTAGTCCCTAAGGATCATCAGAGCTTGAACAAACACCTAATTTGGTCATTTGCTGCACTTGACTCCAGAGAATCCAAATGGAACACATTGACCCATTAAGGTTCCAATGCATCAAGTTAAACAAAATTAGAATTTTAGATAGTTATCACCAGGTACACCAGAACCAAAGTAACATGAACGCTTTAGTTAGCCACCCAAGTGACCATTCCAAAGATAATTTCTACATTATAAACAAATCGGGATAGCTCATTTTATGAAATATGCAATGATTTAATTCTCTTTAACATGCAAATGGGATGCCTTGAATTGATTATTTGTAAAACTACACATATCATTCACTATCATCGTTGCATTCAATTGAGTTGCCATATGGAGGTCAAATTTTAAAAATATAAAGATTCAAACCCCAAATGAATAAGCTTTGGGAAAAGAAAATTGGCAAAAGAGAACATAATTCACCTACTATGTTAGTGAGTATTAAACAAAATAAAATAAGTTTCTGGAGGAAAATGGAATAGGAATCAACCCAGTGACAGTCCATAATAAAAAAATTTAGGGATTTTTACATGCATAACACTTCAAAGTTTCTTATTTACTCATTCAACACCTACACTTGCCTATTTACACACCTAACACCTAAAACGTAATTTATTTTCTAAAATAACATTTCATCTTCCTCTCCATCAAAACTCGTCCGATTGTGTTGCTCGCCACCGCCTCCCCAAAATCCTCTCCCACGTCCTCCGCCGCCAGCTCCACCTCTTCTCCCCTTCCTTCTTCACCACCCTCGCCGCCACTTCCTCTTCCATCTGCCACCCCTACTTCGCCTGCCATCTTCTTCTCCTTGACCACAGCCCTGACCTCCCACTCTTCAATGCCGCCATCAAATCCCTCTCCTTCTTCCCTTCCCACCAACCCTTCATCCTCTTCTCGATCCTACGTTTCGATGGCCTCAGTCCCGACTGTCAAATCTTCGCCCCTCACCTCAAATCTTGCTCTTTCCTTCCCTCCAACCCGGTATTGCCATCCACGCATTGTTGAGTGCTTGCATGAATAATGGTGATGCCAAGGTGGGGGAGGAGGCAAGTGGGATCTGTGTAGACGCTAAACTCAAGAAACTAAAACATGAAGAAGAAATACAATAACAGCGGAAAATAGAGAATGAAAAAAGGATGTAGTTCACTGAAGAAGCTTTTCATTAATTCATCCTTGCGTAAGTCATGAGCCTATTGTATATATACAATAGTGGTAATATATTACTAAGATAGTTGGTTAAGCACAGACGGTGCTGATGCAAGAAGCAGGGATTATTTCGTTTAATACTGTAATTGTAGTTTTGTTTAATACTGTAGCCGCGAGCTCCTTCTGGACACTTTGAAGAAGACAAAAAATAAACTGTGAAACCAAAGAAGATGCCAGGGATCGGGCTGATAGGGGTTTTTTCTTCACATCGAGCTCAATTCTATACCTCCGATCTGATAACGCCGCAAAAATGGAGAAGACGAAGAGCAAACCTGCTCTCGCGATGAAGATGTGACGGGTCTGATAGTGAGGATAACGGAGTGGTAATTTAGATGAAACAAGGTGTATTTGGGTGGTATGTAAATAATATACTTTGGGTGTTAGATAAGTAAATATAATAGTTTGAAGTGTTAGGTATGTAAAAAATCCCAAAACTTTAATAATAAATCAAAATAGATAACCAATGATGAATTATTCATTCTTGCATTTATTGACACAAAGACAAAAGATGGGGCAAGTGATTTTCTATAGGGTTTTCAAATGATGGCCACAACTACCAATAACATTAACCATTAAAGACATAATAACTAAAAAGAGAAGGATCAAATAATTTTAAAATATAATTTGGAATTTCGGAGCAAAAAATAATACTCAAGATATAAAATGGAACAAGTTCAATGCGCAGCTAGAAACTTCAAAATAAAAATTTTGAAAATCATCATGAGAATCATGGAAACGAAGGGAAGATATGCTTGTTCTTTGTTGAAAAATATCAGCAAGTTTGACTGATAAGCTTCTTAACTCGAGCAAAACGTTAATTTGTTGGATAAAGTACCATAATTTCATGAATTTCTATGGCCGAAAGAAAGTATGCTAACATATTCATGGATACAATCTTTACACTTAATTTGAAGAAAACAATTTCAGTCAGCAAAATAATAATAAATGTCCTGCATACAACATTTCCTTAACGTTCCATGAAAAAAAAAACATAAGAAAATACGGCCACATGCATGTCACCTTCTCTGAAGCCAGCAGAATTTGTTTATTTGATATATTTATTTTCTTTTCACTACAAGTTTCCTAAATGTATAAAATTATCCTTTTTTTTTGTTAAAATGTTGCGTGATGCAGGATGACCCTCCTACTAGGACCTCCTGGGTCCGGTAAAACAACATTACTGTTAGCACTTGCAGGGAAAGCTATACCACCTCTTAAGGTAAGCTACGTACACCATATTTCACTTAAACTACCCATGATATTAAAGAAACAAGTCCATGATGATTAATTATGAAAATTTCAATTCATCAAAAAGAGGAAATAACAAGAACCCTGATGCAGAAAAGAATTAAGAGTTGTATGATTTCAACACAGTACTCATAAGAATGAATAACACTTCTAACATGCTCATATAAGTTATTGTTTTAATTTCTTAGCTGTTCTTCCTAAAATTGACCGAAGAAAAGGTTTTATATCACAGATAACAGGGAATATCACTTACAATGGCTTTAAGCTAGAAGACTTTGTCCCTGAGAAAACATCAGCTTATATAAGCCAACATGACCTTCATATTTCTCAAATGACAGTACGAGAAACTCTTGATTTTGCAGCAAGATGTCAAGGAGTAGGTGACAGAGAAGGTAATAGACTGCACTACCATACTTCAAAAACTCAACTGTTGAGAATAATTAAGCTGGTTTTCTCCTCACATCAGATATCATAAGAGAGGTAGCAAGAAGGGAGAAACAAGCCGGAATTATTCCGGATCCTGTTATAGACACTTACATGAAGGTGCATCCAATCTTTCACTGCCATTAGTATAAGCAAATGCATCATAGATAGTTTGAATTATTTTAAACTATTGAATCCCCAAGCCCCAGGGGGGAATTTTATTCAAGTTTGTAAAGTTTTTAACCCACATGCAAATGCATTAGCTTGTTATATGCACCTAGAAAAAATGTAGCTTCATAAGCACATTTAAAAGAATTTTAAAGTTCAAAGGCCAGATTCATGAGCCTTCAAAGAGATGATGAGTAGCATTCGTATGTGTTACTTTAATTGGTTTTTCTATTAGAGTGGATGATCCATATCCCATGCATTTTCTAACATAAATGGTTCATGAAATTTCTTGATAAAAAGAATGAAAATTTTAATGGACAAGGCGCTAATATTCAATTAAACTCTGCAATTTCATTGACAAAGTAATTATAAGTGTTTATTGTACTACATGCTCCTATAACAGGGAATTTCTATTGCGGGATTGCAAACAAGCCTTCAAACAGATTATATTTTGAAGGTAAACAAACTTAACAGCCTAACTCCCAATACTTAATAACATGGAATACATTCTGTTTCCCTACTGTAATTGACTTTGTTTGTATGTGAGTGTGTCAAGGGCCATGCCGAGTCCCTTTCAATTGCTTTGAAATAGTATTCTAATTCATATTGCTTGCTTTAATGCAGATCCTTGGATTGGACATTTGCTCTGAAACTAAGGTTGGTGACACGATGAGAAGGGGGATATCAGGTGGTCAGAAGAGAAGGTTAACAACAGGTTGCCCAGAACAACCCCTTCAGATGTTTTTAATAATCATTAATATCCCTATTTGCATTGTAATCACTCTTTCTCACCTTGAATAACTTGAAGATTGATGTTTACTTTGGCGTTGCTTGAAATTTATCTAGATAGCAGTGTTAGCAATGGTAGAAGCATGGAGCTGATAGGAAAAAATAAAAACACGGGGAAATAGAAAGCAACTAAGTAGAAGTAGCTTGAAGATAGCTGACTAGACTTTCTCATACAGTTTAGAAGAGAGCTTTTACTACAAGATCTCACTTAAAGAAGGAAAGAGGGGTTCCTGTGATGCAGGCAATAGGATTTACAAACTCATTTTATTTTATAAATCACCATAAGAAAAAAGAGTTTAAACCCTATATATATATAGCAAGAAATTTTTACATTTTGAATCTTAGATAATTTGTAATGACAAAACAATCACTAATAATTATAGTCATAATAGCATATTAGCATGACACTTGAGATCTTTTGCCTAAACATAAACTTAATAATAAGACGACATAACATAATATAAAATGAGAACATAAGGAGCATCATCATGCTTGGGCCTTCGTGTTTTGCATCAACTCTATTAGCCCCAAAAGAACTCTTCCACAGAAGAGTTTGACACAAGCCACCGAGGTGGATGAAGCAACTAACAATGCAAAAGCAGCCAAAAAAAATTTGTGGCTAGCAGCAGGAAAAATGGATTATAAACTGCAGTCACAGAGGCAACAATGAATCCTAAGTGGTGTATTACTCAACAAAGTTAACACAAACCCAATATGCTGAACTTGGAGTGGAAACTCAATGCTAGGACCTTCAATCTTGTCAAACTGCGACTCAACTTGGGCCATAGGAGACGCAATAAAATTGTTATATAGAACTGATTGGCAAGAAAATGCCTAGGAATAGTTTAAAAGCAAGTTATAAAGTTCATTAGTGATAAAAAAAAGGCTTAGGCATGGCTTGTTATAAGCTTGGAAACACCTTTGCTGCAATATGGAGCTCAAATTCATCACTAAAATGATGCTCATCATCATGAAAATCCTCTTAGATCTCAACCTAACTTTGGGGGAAACCAAAGGAGGAGGTGTGTTCATGTAAAGGGAACACATTTTAGAAGCATTTCATGTGTTTGGCAAGATATCTTTTAAATTGAACATCAGGAGAAGGTAACAAATTAGGAGACTATGAGAGCCTTTGGTGGAACTCTTACATGAGATTTTGGCAGAATATGGTAATCATGATAATCATCGTAAGGATCATGATTGGCATCATCACGGTTGGCCCATCTTGTTCAGAATTAGCTCTTAGATGACAATATTATTATTTATCAAATGGAATGTATTTTGTTTGTGATTTCTTATTTACAGAATGCCCTATTATATAAATGATCTATGATAATTATGATTTTTCTTTCTTTGATGTTTTTTTTCTAACATCTAGATATGGCCTCATGTGAGCAACATTAAGTTGCCAGAAAAATAGAACTAAATTTCTTTTAAGAAATTATTATTTAAACATGTCTGCAAAGCAAGCAACTAACATCAGCTAATAAAAAACACTGCATAGAAATGTCAGCAAAGCAAACAATTCATTGAAGTTGCTTAGAGCAAATATATATTAGTGTATGGCTAAAGAGCCCTCCCATATTTTCCTTTTTTTTTTTTTTTGAAAACTACAATTTACTGCAGTTATTTTAATAAATGGCAGGAGAAATGATGGTTGGACCAACCAGAGCACTTTTCATGGATGAAATATCAAACGGACTGGACAGTTCCACAACATTTCAGATAATTTCTTGCATTCAGCAGCTGGTGCATATTATGGAAGCTACTTCTCTAATTTCTCTTCTTCAACCAGCGCCTGAGACTTTTAACCTCTTTGATGACATAATATTAATGTCGGAAGGGAAAATAATATATCATGGGCCACGTGACCGTGTTCTTCACTTCTTTCAGGATTGTGGTTTCATATGCCCAAAAAGGAAAGGCATTGCTGACTTCCTTCAAGAGGTACTTGCTTCAGTAGCATCAATTTTCATTTACATGCTTGTTTAAAGTGATAAAAAAATAATTATCTTAGACTTGATTTAGGTCATTTCAGAAAAGGACCAAGCACAATATTGGAGCAACACAAGCATTCCTTATAGGTACGTCACTGCAGATCAATTCTCAGAAAAGTTCAAGTTCAGTAGAACTGGTGAGAAGCTGGAAGAACTTTTAGAACTTTCTACAAAATCACAGGACACTGAAAATGATATAGCTTTTGCTGCAATTTACTTGAACAAATGGGAGTTGTTCAAAACTTGTATGGCTAGAGAGTTTCTACTTATGAAGAGGGATAAATTTGTTTACATAGCTAAAATTATTCAGGTGATCAGTTATTTCAATATATCTAGTTCATTTATGCATTACTTATTATTAAAATGCACAAACTCATGCATAGTATTTCTCCAGATTATGATTGTTGCCATAATAACAATGACAGTCTTCCTGCACATGCAAGTTGATTTAGAGCATTCAAGTTACTATGTTAGCTCTTTCTATTACACCATCACCAGGATTATGGCAAATGGAATTGAAGAGCTGTCTCTATCTATTGTTAGACTACCTGTATTCTATAAACAAAGAGACTTACTCTTCTATCCAGCATGGGCATACTCAATTCCCATCTCCCTTTTGAAGATACCACTTTCTTTGGTGGAGTCCTTCATTTGGACAGCGTTAACTTACTATGTTATTGGTTACGCTCCTGAGTTACAGAGGTAAGCATATTTGTGGTGAAAGTATTTTTGTCCCCTTGGTCAAAATGATTGTTAACAAATGCAACTTTTTCCTTCAATGCTTAACAGGTTTTTCTGCCAGTTCCTTCTACTATTCATACTCCATCAAACATCAACATCTATTTTCCGTTTTCTAGCATCAATAACAGGAACAGCGCACACATCATCCCTTTTAGGAAATTTAGCTTTAGTAATATCCTTTATGTTTGGAGGGTTCATTCTTCCAAAATGTAAGATTTTATGAGTTTCTATCAGTCCAAGAAAAGCATTTATATGAATTATTGCTAGAGCAAATGTTTCTTGGTGCAGACTCATTCCCATTTTGGCTACGCTGGGCATTTTGGTTTTCACCGGCAACATATGCGCAGATAGCTTTATCCCTTAACGAATTCCAAGCTCCCAGATGGCAGAAGGTTTTGCTACATTTGATCCAACTAGTTAAATACAACAATAAGCATCTTTTAGGCCAATACTCATATAAATAATTTTTTTTTTCTTATTTTAAACTTGGCAGTTGTCATCAGAAAACATGACACTTGGGCAGCATATTTTGAAGAGCCAGGGTCTAGATTTTAAAAACTACTTTTACTGGCTGTCAATAGGAGCTTTATTTGGTTTCACATTGCTTTTGAACATCGGCATTGCATTGGCACTGACTTATTCAAATAGTAAGTTTTTGGACATCATGAAGTTAATGCCTAAAATAACTATAGCAACTGAATTCTGGCAACACAGATCCTAGAAACTCTAAGGCGACTATTTCAAAACAACAACCAAGCCTACAGAAGAGCAGAGAAGTTGAAAGCAAAAGTTCTGCGGGTCTCATCCAAACTCATGAACAAATAGAAGGTGAGAAAAATAACAATGATATGCCTGAAGGCGAACACAGATTTTTTTTCTTAAATTAAACCATCTAATTCAGTCATAACAACTGTGTTTGTGACTGTTTGCAGGGAGAATGGTCATACCATTTAAGCAACTAACCATGACATTTAAAAATGTTCAATACTTCATTGATACACCAAAGGTATTCTTCTTCACCTTCCATTAGTTCTACCATTATTATTTAAGTTGCTAACTATTATGATGTCTTCGATTAATCATGAAACCAATGTTCTCTCCCTTTGTCAAGGAAATGAGAGATCGAGGTTTTGGGTCTAAAAGACTACAACTTCTCCAAGATATCACAGGCGCTTTTAGACCTGGTGTTCTTACAGCTCTGATGGGAGTCAGTGGAGCTGGAAAAACTACATTGATGGATGTTCTATGTGGGCGGAAAACAGGTGGCATGATTGAAGGAGATATAAGAATTGGGGGATATCCTAAAATCCAAGAAACATTTGCGAGGGTATCAGGTTATTGTGAACAGAATGACATACACTCTCCACAAATCACAATCAAAGAGTCACTTATGTTTTCAGCTTCCCTACGCCTTCCACCAGATGTTGATCCACAAACTAGAGCTGTAAGCCATTATGCTTCATCTAATTTATTAAACTAACAAAATAATAAAATAATATGATTATTCAGTATAAAGGACACATTAAAATGCCTTCTACACATTTAGATATAACAGTAACCCATGAAAACTCAATGACATTCCAAAATATACCATAAACACGGATGAGCAAACCAACTACATGCACCTAAAAAGTAGTAACAAGCTATCTTAGTCCAACACATAAGGAAAGCTTCTAACTTTCAAATAGTACAAGTTTGTTCTATATCTTGATATCTAAAGGTTAACCTGAGATGTAATATGCAGGAGTTTGTTGATGCTGTCCTTGAAACAGTTGAGCTAGATGGACTAAGAGATGCTTTAGTTGGAATACCAGGCATAAATGGCTTATCTACAGAACAACGTAAGCGGCTAACAATCGCAGTGGAGCTAGTGGCTAATCCATCAATTTTGTTCATGGATGAGCCAACATCAGGTGTAGATGCTAGATCAGCAGCAATTGTCATGCGTGCTGTAAAAAATATTGCTGAGATGGGAAGGACAGTAATTTGTACCATCCACCAACCAAGCATTGATATTTTTGAGTCATTTGACGAGGTAACATATATCACGTAACTACCCATTTCAGTCACAAATAGATAATAACTAAAACAAATTTCAATATTTTTGTATTATAAAATACTTATTCGTGGAATTAATACTGAGTTCACCTTATCATTGCAATGCAATGGTGCAGAAACTAAGACGCATACCCAATCCCTTACCTACTCTTGGCTAGTAATAGCATATAAAATATTTTCTGTACTCTTTTTGTGTGCCATTTTAGAACAATTTGGGTTGCCAATATGAATGCTTCTTCTCAATTAACTTCTGGAAAGTGAAACATGATGTGTTGATTTCAATTTATGTATGCCTTTCTTAACAGTTCTAGCCAAAACCTTTAGTCTAGCACTATTCCTTCCAATGTCTCAATATGATTCTATCAACCAACTTTATTAGTGAACACTGTAGACTCCTTTGTATGTGCCCAGTCTGAGTTTATTTTTTACAATCTTATCCTCAAAAAGGCGCTAATCTATCATCTCTTCCATATGATAATTTTGCAATCCATCATTTCAAATTAGAAAAATACTTTTACCGCAACATATGCATGATAATGAATATGAATGAAACAAGTTTTATCAATTCATATAATTATTCTTAAGAGAAATACACTGGCGTTCTTTGGTGAAATAGTCCCATGTGAGCATCGTTTCATTTAGAAGGATGTTCACAGATACATAAGCTTAAGCCTATGGTTAATTGCATTTCGATTTCTACTGTTTAATCAAACTATTTCTCTATTATGGCCAACCCCAAAAAGGAAAACTAGCACTGAAAGTTTATCGTTGGTAGGTGTTTAATGAAGCAACTCAATGAAAATTGTTCTTCTTGGGCTTAGCCATGAGTTTCAAGGGAAAACATAAGAAGCTATCTTCTCCAGGAGGATGGAAAGAAGAGAGAGAGAGAGAAAGAGGATGGGGGGAGGGGTGTGGTAGTAGGAGGAAGAATAAACAAGAGGCGAGCAGAGGATTAAGGAAGAGCCAACAAGGGGGGAGCAAATGCTATTTCATGCAAGAGCTTTTTTTTGGTTTAATATTCAAGTGTCCTTTCCTAGTAAGATGTATCCCCTTATTATATAGAGAAGGGAGAGAATAACATCACATGCTCAATTACATTCTCTTGAATGGCTAAAATGACAATGTGCAAAATAAAAATGAAAGCATAACCCACTAGATCGGTAGGGAAAATGTCCGTAGAAGGGCTAAGAGTGGGGGAGGGGGGCGGGGGGGGTTAATATATGCAATTGTCAGAACACCTCTAGATCGGTACGGGAAAATGACCGTATAGAAGGGCTAGAGAAAAAAATATAGACATGAGTTACATGAAAAAATTAAAAATGGAAAAAAGATATCATTATAGGGTTATCACATGGTGAATACCGAACATAAAAAATGAATAATGATGAATCATAAAGACAGCTTGCATATTAGTTGGATAAGATTAATGATGATGATGATCATCATATATTCTATAATCATGTTAAAATCATGGGCATGGATATTGATTGGATGGCTTCATCTTTGTACAGGTTTGCTTGATGAAAAGAGGAGGCCAAGTGATCTACTTTGGCAAGCACTAAGTAAAAAATTCCAAAGAATCTTTATTGCTATTTTGAGGTATGTTTCCATAGTTTCAAATAAATTTTTGTTGCATACTCCAACTATAATATTATATATATATATTATTGAAATTAATATGTGTGTGTGTGTGTGTGTGTGTGAAATATTGAAGATTATATTTTCTAATGCCACCCTTAGCATTCTTCATGTGTGTTTATATGTCTTTGCAAATTTAAAATTGGATTTTGATTATCAAGAACACCTTCACAGTTCAATCAATTTAAGATAGGTAATAGCTTTATGAAAGTTACAAGTTAATGACATAAACATCATTAAGGTAAAAAGATGACTAAAGCATTCCTTAGTAGATCACATTTATCTACCAAAAAGATTTTCGATCCTTTATTTTTAAAAGAATAAAAGGATAAAAACCCTTTAAAATACACCAAGTATCTGGTCAATTTGTGGAATATTAATTATAAAAAGAGAAAAAGTGTTAGCCTACAAATGCATGATTTTGTATCTATATTTTAGAACAGTAAGACTACACACATGCCAATGAAAAAGAGCCCCATATCTCCTTTAGCAATTAGATATGTATAGTTCTAAGTACCAACTATGAACTTGACTTTCTACATCATAATTTGTAATGTCACTTCCGTTAATAACAATGAACCTAGCAAAGATTTAAAATTTAGATTGAAGCAATTTCAAAATGCAAGTTATAGTTTTTGATAAGCATCGTTATGCTAGATCAAATGCAGCAATAAATTCTGAGCTTTGTCAGAACACTACTATTGCAGCCTAAATGTTTCATTATTATATTATTCTTGCATGTGAATAACAAGGATTGATTATCCTTTCAAAAAATAACACTTCGTTCATTTTAAAGGAACAATTTATAGTTCAACAAATCATACCAGTATAATACCACCATTTTTTCACAGAGAATTCCAAAAATCCCGAAGATTAAAGATAATTATAATCCAGCAACCTGGATGCTTGAAGTTACCTCAACAACAACTGAAGAGAATCTTGGCATTGACTTCGTCCAAATTTACAAGGAATCCACTTTGTATCAGTGAGTACTCTCTGAATGAACATTTCTAGTTTGATTTCTATGAAGTTACCTTCAGCGTTCGTTTGCTTATAAATAAATCCGTTGAAAGAATTATTTGAACTTCTGCAAGGAAATTGCGGCCAAATTGGTTTCATTTACTTGGCGATAGTTTTACCTGAGGGAGTGGCCTAAAATTGTTTGGTGTTAAGTTATAAAGCCACTTTACATCAAGCCAAATGCAAAAAAATAACTTCATCTGCATTCCTTGAACTTACACATGTTTTGTAGCCAACTAAATTGCATGGTGTACCATTATTACAGATTAAAAGAGAAATCTTCTCATTGATATAATAGACTGGTAATAAACTAGCACTTAAAATTTCTATCATAAAAGAGGAAAAGAACTTAGTATGTATGCCAGACATCCTCTTAAATAAGAAACTCATATTATGATAATAATTTTTCTCTTATAATGTATGATATAAGCTTTAAAAACAAGAATATTAGTTTTCCAATAATGAAAGAAAAAACAATATAAGGAACAATGCAATCGTATCTCACTTTCATCATTCTAGTCTTCTGAAAGTCCTCGGTATGAGGATGATGGATGCCAATTCCAATCAATTATAAGCAGCATGTATTCTTCAATCTCCGGGGCCTGAAAAATAAAAACATTTGTTAATACAAGATAATTCACTGAATTTTACAAACAAGCATAATTTTCTCATCATTTATTAGGTAGCTGTTGTTGGAAAAAATAAAATTGCGAGAGCAATAACAAAGCGTGAGACCGTTAAATAAATTGCAAGGGTCTAAAACAGTGAGAAAACCTTTCTGAATCAGTGAAGTTCGTCTATGTCCACGGCCGCATAAAGTGAAGTAGTTTTCACTAGTATAGAGACAAGTAAATAAAATAAATATTTGACTCAAATATTTCTTTCTAATTTGTTTTCTCTCTCTAGGGTTCCTTCTCTACTCCTATGTTAATTTTTTCTTCTTTCGTCCCTCTCCCAACATCTCAATTCAAATTATGCATACAAATATAACATAAATCCTACTACTTATAGAAAATAATAAAACAAAAAATTCCAAAACAAGCCTCCCCCAATTCCCTCTCAAATCAACTCCTAAATCAGCACCCAAATCAACCCTCCAATCAGGAAATAACTCCTAATTAATCTCCTCCAATTTAGCCCTCAAATTAGTCATCTTTAATTAGGAAATATCTCATATCTCCTAATTAATCTCCTCCAATTTATCCCCCAAATCAGCCCCCAAATATGTCATCTTTAATTAGGAAATATCTCCTAATTAATCTCCTCCAAATCAGCCTCCAAATTTGCCCTTTTTAATTAGGACAAATCTCCTAATTAATCCCCCTTTCAAATTGGCCCCCAAATCAGCCTTCTTTCCTTATTAATTTTCCTCTCTTATTTGAAATCAAATAGAAGATTTTCCCTTCTTAATTCCCTCCTTGATTACTCTCCTAACATTATGATTTCTTGCTTTGTTGGGCCCAACAAGAAGGCTGAAATCTACCTGGATTTGGTTTCAGGTTCCTCCCCCTGCACCGCCTGCTGGGCCGGCCGATCCAGCTTCCCTTAGTTTGCAGCTGTAACACCCCACCACAAAGGGGTCAGGATTCACTCGGCGGAAGCGGAACTCTTGTTTTGCCTGCTGTACACGAGGGCCGGTCCAAGAGGGACCGGCTTGACCGGTCCAGGAGGGACCAATCCATCAATATCCCCTCCCAAAATTCCACCTTGTCCTCAAAATGGAAAGACGGAAACTGCTACTTCATCCTCTCGTACGACTCCCATGTTGCGTCATAATCGGGTAAGTTCTTCCATTGAATTAGCACTTCCATGACCCCTACCTTTCCTTGTAGTACCCCTTTCAGCTCCAAGTGTTACAACACCACCTCCAACTGCTCGGTCAGTGTTAAGGGTAACTTTGAACTGGATGCATAATCACCAATAGCTCTCCTCAACTATGATACGTGGAACACCAGATGTATAGTAGTGGTCGGGGGTAACTTCAATCGATAACCCACTGCTCCAATCCTCTCTAATATCTCATAGGGACCCAAGCACCTCGGGTCAGCTTCTCGTTTCTCCTGTTAGCTACCACCCTTTGTTTATAGGGCCGTAGCTTCAAGTATACCCTATCACCTATCTCAAACTATACGTACTTCCTGCACCCATCCTTCTGCTTCTTCAAAATTTATTGAGCCCTCAACAAATATCTTTTAATTCTGCCAACAACATCTCTCTCCTCCAAGTACTGCTCTAACGACAAGACTATCGTGCTACTCTACCCAAACTGCACCAAGTGTGGTGGGTCCATCTTGTACATCACTTTAAAAGGAGTCATCGATGAATCTAAATGATATGAAGTGTTATACTAGTACTCCGCCCATGCCAGGCACTTGGCCCACAACCGAGGTATCTTCGAAGAAAAACTTCGCAAGTACATCTCAAGGCTCATGTTTAGCACTTCCATCTGCCCGTCCGTCTACGATTAATAAGCAATGCTCATCTTCAATATTGTCACATACATCCTTAAAAACTCCATATATAAATGACTGAGGTACACCATTTCACGGTTGGACAATATAAACTCTAGTATCCCATGCAATCTGACCAACTCTCTGATGAATGTCGCTACCACTGTCACTATCATATACAGGTGTCGTAGGGGAATAACATGAGAATACTTACTAAATCTATTCACCACCAAAATCACGGTAAACCCCTCAAATCTGGATAATTTATTTATTAAATCCATGATGACCTCCTCCCACACTTTGTTTGGAAGAGCTAGAGTTTGCAGTAACCCTCTTAGAACCATGGACATGTATTTGTTCCTCTGGCACACCTCAAATCTAGCCACCATCTCATGCACCTCCTCATGCATTCCCTTCTAATACAACTATGTTGGCAACCTCCTGTACGTCTTCTGCAACCCTGAATGACCCCCTACAGTGCTCCCATGGAAGTCCTGCAAAATGTGAGGAATATAGACCGAGGTCAGTGGCAACACAAATCTCCCCTAGTATAGCAGTCTCTCCCCCTCTAGGGAATAGCCATAGTGGCTACTCTCTTCCCTCAGCATATCCGCCTTAATCCCCCTCAGCTGCTTATCATGGATGCTCTCCTCTTTAATAGCCCCCCAACCCAACATCAATGGTACAGAAATGACTAACTTCTGAAGCTCTCCCGTGCATCTGGACAATGCATCAGCCGTCTTGTTCTCTAGTCCTGGCATGTAATGGATCTCAAAATCGTATCCCAATAGCTTAAATAGCCACCTCTAATGCTCCTTGGCCACCATCCTTGCTCTAACAGATACTTGAAGCTCCTTTGGTCTGGTCGGAACACCCTGTTTATGAGGGATTGGAATGTAGTAGGAGTGTTGGTGAGACCAAACGACATCACCAAGGACTCGTAGTGTCCCTCATGTGTCCAGAATGTAATCCTCGGGGCATCCTCCTCTTTCATCCAGATATGATAGTACCCAAACTTCATATCCATCTTTGTGAACACTACTGCTTCACATAGCTCATCCAACAACTCGTCTATCATCGGAATAGGAAACTTGTCTAGCACAATCTCCTAATTCAAGGCCTGGTAATCCACACAGAATCTCCAGCTCTCATTCCTTCTTCTTGACCAGTAAGATTGGGCTAGATAAAGGAATCATGCTCGCTTTGATGATCCCTTCCTCCAACATCTCCTAGATCAACTTCTCGATCTCATCCTTTTGGATCTAAGGGAATTGGTAAGTCATGACATTATTTGGTGACACCCCCTCCATCAAGGCGATGATATGCTCTTACTCGTTCGGTGGTAGCAATCCTTGAGGTGTCTAAAAGACCTCACTGAACTGTTGTATAAGCGGTTGTACTAAAAGAGAGATGTCTACCCCTCCTCCAATCAAATCCCCTCTAAGCTTTGCCACTCCACTAGAAATCCTCCCCCACCTCGTGTATTGTCCTCACTATGGTTTTGGGAGAAACCAACTCTGCAACACCCCTGATCACCACCATTCTTCCATCCACCATCATTTCCACATCAATGATCCACAACCGACCTTGGTATGTCCCAAGATTTATAGTCATTTTATCCCCATGATGACATTAGTGCTCCCTAACTCCAATGGAAGTCCTCCCTCACCTTGACCCCCTGTATGGTCAAAACCACCCCCTACACACTCCTCTGTCTGTCTTCACCTTCCATGTGCCCATCATCACCTCGTAGCACCATGTGTCCACCAGCTTCACCCCCCAATTGATCCACGACTTGATTGGAGATGAAATTGTGGGTAGCCCGACTATCTATCAACATCATTATCTCCCTCTATTATCTCTTCTTTCACCTATGGTGTGATTTTACAGTGAATCCCACCACTTAGTTCAATGAGACCTTTGTTATCTCTAAATGTAGCTCTTCCTCCACCACTACCTCACTCTCACCTTCATCCTTAGCTTCTTGAAGAATTTGATCCTTACACCTAAGCCCCAAGATTTACCTCTCATCACATCTAAAACACAATCCATTATCTCTCTTCTCCTGTAACTTCGTCTCAGTGAGCTTCTTGAAGTTTCCCCCAGTTCCCTCTCATGCAATTTTCTCCTTTGAGGTCTCTTGAGAAATACCCAGTGTTGGCCCCCTGGATGTCAAAAAGGTGGTGGTCATCCTGTACAAACCTTTTGAGCTGCTGCACCTAGTCCCTATCTCCAAGTGCTTCTGGTCATCCACTTATCCACTAATTGGACTAACTATATAGCCTCTCCAAAATCATGATGCCTCATCACTCTAACTGTCGCCCAAATTTTATAAAGTTTCCCTCCAGTACAATCTCCGACAATTGGTCCAATCGAATGGCAAGGTACTCAAATCTCTCATAATACACCACCACTATCCCCTCCTGCGTCAGAGTGAATAACTACTCATAGAAGTCTCCTTCATTGTTGGTTCGGAAACGTTCCAACAGGCAATCATTATCTCTCTCCAGCTTTGTATGAACCGTCTCATATCCATCCACTAGTACTATGTCAATGCTTTCCCCTCCAAGCATAGGTCAAATGTCATCAGTCTCTCCTCCTCCGTCAACCCATAAACGACAAAATACCTTTTCACCTTGTAGATCCATCCATGTGCATCCTCTCACTCAAAAACAAGCATCTTCATCTTCCTCGTCCGGATCTCCTCCGTTCCCCATGTTTCATCCATAACTCCCCATTCCCCAAGGGGGAAATCCCTCAAAGTGTCTTGATCCCTTCTACACTTGTACCCAAACCTTTCATCAAAATCTCCCCTCCTCCCTTCAAAATCAGCACCCCTCCGGTCATAATCAATCCTCTTCTTTCAAATTCAGCATCCATTTGTTCATAACCAACCCTCTTACACCTCTCTTCATACCTTCTACCAGTCTCCTCCCTAGGAATAGGCTATAAAAAGTCTACTATCTTCTCCGTCCAAGATCTCCACCTCTTGTTCTTCCTCTCTCCTTATCGAATTAGGGTTTTCCCACACCCTTAGCTGTCGACGGCTTCCCTCGCCTCTAATGACACTATTTTGGTTTGGATGTAAAGCATCTTCTTCTTCATCTCATCCATGATGGCAAACTTGTCATCGATCTTCTCATGAATGGCCGAAATTTGTGTTTGAAAATCTAAACTTTTAATTTGTAATTGTCCTCTTCCAACACGTCTACCTTTCTTCCTGTCATAGGTACCTGGATCTTGACTTTGATAGCAATTTGATAGAAAGTAGATACAATTTCAGCAAAAATGAGCGAACGACAATACAAAATTCATAAGAACACACAAATACTCTTTTTGTTACAAGATATATGAAAAAAATAGTTAGAACAGTTGGATCTTCAATTGGAGAGGAAGATCTGGCTTTCCTGAATCCCTAGCCTTCGGCTAGGGTCCTCTCAAACTAAGCAAAACTAATTTCAGCAAACACAAGCATAAAAAAATAAACCCTTGTGAACACAACCTACTTAAGGCATAAAAAAACATGAAAAATCACGAAACAGCCCTCCCCCTTTCAAATTTCCCTCCTAGCCACCCCCTCTTGATTTGAATCTCTCCCTAGGCCCCACCCTAAAAGGGGCGAGTTCACTGGGCAGAACTCTTGTTTCGCCTGTTGTACATGAGGGCTGGTCCAAGAGGGACCGGCTTTACCGATCCAGTAGAGACCAGTTCATCATATTCCTTACTTAGAAATTGGCCACATATGTCATTGAGTCTAGTATCTCATAAACCATGACCAAATTGAATTACTTGATCTGTACCATTATAGAAGAATCATCTACCATTCTGTGATCCAAAAGTTTTCTCATCAGCTTTATCTTATTCAGTATAGATGGCTTCTCATACATCTCTAATAAGCCTTCATAACTCCACCAATGATCAACTCATGCAACACCTTAAAGTACATGTTCTTTATTTATGACTGGCGTATAACGCCCAACAAGTACTTATCCAACAGATCAGATTCTCCTTGAGTCACATAATATTTTGTTTTATCTCAAAAAGAGATTGATGTAAATTCTTTTGATAAGAATAATCCTTGATTTCTATATTCCAATAGCCAATGCCCTTATCATTGAACTTGTCAATCTTCACTTTCTCATCCTTAATTGCCATTACTTAGACTTTTCCCAACTAATGTTACAACTTAGCTCTAATATACTACGGAAAAAAAGAAAGAAAAGAGGACCTTCCCTTGCCTCGATCCACATGCCAACAACCCTGCGAAGGTATGTGTTTTCTAAAACTTAGATTCTCGCCTTCGAAGTTCGCGGCGCACCGAAAAACCGCCTATACACATCTTTATTACGCGTGGTGGGATGGGACCCCAGTGCGATGCCTACGACGAGGCAGGTAATCACATAAAAGCCCCATTTCAAAGTTCGTGGCACACCGGAAAACTGCTTATACACGCCTATTGCGCGTGGTGGGATGGGACCCCGGTGCGGCACCTACGGTGAGGCGGGGTTACTTATAAGTACCCCCAAGCGGGGAGAAAGCAAACTGTCTTTTTAAATAGGTACCGTCAAATACCACATACACGCCTTCATTGCACGTGGTGGGAAAGAAAGATCACAGCCGCAGTGTCCTCGTCCGATGACACCTATCATACATGCCTTTATTGCGCGTGGTGGGAAGGCCCGGTTTCTCATAGTTTTCCCCTAAACGGGGGAGACATAGGGAGGCTGCCAAAATTTCGGATGAACACGAGACTGTACTTGGACTTAATTGTTGACCTGTATACCGAAAACAAAAAAAAATGGCGAATCCTCACCTGCTCCCCTGCGAAGCCACGATGCACGTCGCTCCCCTGCCGCAGCACGTCGTCGCCTCACCTCGCACACGATCGCTCGCACGACTCATTCGAGTCGTTAAAAGCCTGAAAGCAACGAGGCCGAAGGCCTCTGACGCGATTCCTCCTCTCCTCCCGAGCCCGCTCTCCCCCTGCGCTCTCGCTCTCTCCTTCCAGTCGGAACGGAAGTTACGACATTTTGATCGGAAGCAATACGGGAGCTCGCAGGCTGTGAAGATAACCTTCTCCCTTTCGAGCGGCTTCTCCGACTCCTTCCCGGCTGTTCGACGACTCTCCCTTCCTGTCTAGATCGGAAGTCACAACATTTGATCGGAAGTAAGAACAGGAGCTCGCTCGGCCGTGAAGTTAACTTTCTACCCTTTCGTGCTCATCTTCTCCCCCAACCGACTTTCCCTTACTGTCGGATTGAAAGTTACGGCATTTGGATCGGCAACAACTACGGGAGCTCACTGCCCGTGAAGGTAACTTTCTCCCCTCCATGCGCTTCTTTGGCCGGATCCCGTGAATAGAGAAGAGGGGTGAGGGATTAAAAATATTTGCTGCTATTATATGCCAGATAACACGTATCTTTACGTATCTGATCGATGACTAGCCTTAATCGAAAGTTCTCTCTCATTATTGGGAGGGGTAATTAACTATAGGGGCTTGTGCCTATAGGAAACCAGAACTCAGATCATAAAGTCCTCACAAAATGAGGGCGAAATCTCTGGGTAGTGTCTTATCTACAAACCCATCTGCCTTCCAAAATTTACCTCGGAACTTAGTTCGTTAAAACTCCCTTGCCGAATAAGAAATCGCGCAGCGAGCGGAGGCCGGGGCCGAATTTTCGGAGCCCACATTAATTGAACTCAAAAGAATAACAGTGGACTCGAACTTGTGAACTTTGATACAATAAACTCAAATCTAAATGAATTCAAACTCAAATAAAAAATGACTTGAAAAAGAACATGATCTTGGACATTTGAACTCAAGCAAATACTTGAGTTGGACTATATGGGACTTTGATTTGGACTTGAGCTTGAATAACATAACAAAGGATTATGCTTGGACTTGAACTCAAGAAGACCACAAGGAATCCAAGCATGAACTGGACTTGAACAAACTGCAAAGGGCATGAACTTGATTCATATTAAATGACAATGGACTTGGATTCAAACTTGAGTCTAACTTGCACATGATTGGAACATTTGAATCAAGTAAGAATTTGAGTTGGACCACAGGAAACAAGGCTTGAACTTTACAAGACAACATGAAACTCATTTCTAAATCAAGTGATCAATACTTCAAAATCAAACTTGAATCAAATAATAAGTCTTGAACCCAATTGAACAAATGCAATGTTTATTAGTCAATGTGTATTCAAGAGGTTCAAAGAAAAATGTAATTTGCATACAATCAAAGTTGCTTGATTGCAAACAGGCGTAGTAACATGCCTACGAATGACAATACTTCATACAAATACATGCGACACAGCTTGTTGATGAAGGAACCTCTCTCCTACAAATGAAGATATATAATGAACACGAGCATGATGCTTGTACAAGTACATAAATTCATCTGAACGAGGAAGGAGGTCATTTGCAAACTACAAAAAGATTTGCAGTTTAACAATATATTCATTTTTATCACAAAGGACTCCACGAGTCCATGTAAAGGAGCTTAATGATATTAATGAAACAAGCTCTTAGTAAGCAGAGCCACTCTAAGAGATGATGAAGAACTTGTAAATACAATCTGCTCACAAACAACAAGAACCCTTGCCAACATGTTCAGGGCAATATGTAATGAATATTAGGATACTCATATGATCAGTAATAATCCTGTGCTAAGCAAATATACTAGCTCCTTATAAGCAAGAGTAGATGGTATGTGGAAAAGTGCAAATATTTACGAGATCATAGGAGACTCATCATATGTACTATATCACATTTACAAGAAAACATCGGATGAAATGTAATAAATACAAGTATCCACGGGCCATTGTAAAAGACTCGTAGTACACCTAGTCTATTGTCCATGAGCAAGATACAAAGTGACTATATCAAGTGCAAGTGCTTATGAGTTACAGTGGGAAACTCATCGTTCATACAACAAACTATCTACGAGCATCCACAAATGCAAAGTAGGAGATTCGTTAGTGCATTACAATCCACCTGCAGAAAGCAACAAGTGGTGCACAACAGTCTACCTGTACAAAGCAGTAAACAATTGATCCAGAAGTTGCTACTTAATGCCACCAGATCCGCAACATTCATGCAAGTGGACAGAAGGCATTTACAAATATTTCAAGAATAATCCTACACATGCACCTTAGTTTGGATACACATAGGCACACAAGGGGTAATGTCCAACCAATGAAATTCTCAAACACCTGCATGAGCCCCAACGAGCGTGTTATTGGTACACATGTGACATTTAGGGATGCTGCGCGGGTTATTAAATTTAAACCCGGTCCTCCTAAATAGGTAGATAGGAGTCGACAGGGTTCAACAAATAAATCATAAAATGCCCCCAAACACCCGCATGGGCCCCAAAGAGCATGTTATGGGTACACACGTGACGTCTAGGGATGCTACGCGGGTCAATAAGTGAATTCAAGTTTGAACCTAATCCTTCTATACGGATCAATAGGAGTCGATAGGGTTTGAACCATTAAATAAATATACGACTGTGGTGACCGGTATATTTGTTTTAATACATTCATATTAGGCCTTCAAGGCTTATAATAATGAGAATTCACTAATCAAGGCACAAAGCTTACGAAACTCGATCCCCTATTGGCAAGTTGATAGGGTCGACAAGGTTCAAGCCACAAATGAAAATGACCCACACCCCGATGATGGCCGTGTTGAATGTAAATCTTAACCGGAGGGGTCTATTCCAATTACTCAAAATCCCATCTAAATACCCGTAAAAATCCAAAACTCCAAAAAATCCTAAAAAATTCCAAAAATCTAAGATATTTAAAACTAAAATCAAACCACGAAACGCTTAAATCAAAATCCATCCATCCTCATCATAGTTTGCCGAGGTGGATAAATTGAAATGTACTTCAGCTCACAAAGAGCAAGTACCTAGTCGAAAATATCACTAGGATCCATTCTCAAATAATCTCATGTCAGTAAGGATGTGGTACGTGTCCTCTGACCAACAGTTTTGCAGCCAAATGGCATCGCAGGATAAACGTTTATGACCCGAGGCCCTCTGAACCGAGTGGTTTTGCCGCCAAATGGCACCATGAAATACCGATTATGGCCAGAGCCAATACGCTCCTTAGTGGCATCAAATTCTTGAGATATGAATCAATATGATATGATTGATAGGGCACAAAGCCCTCTGTTAGCTAAGGTGGATTCAAATTTGTCCTCTTAGGAAAACATCCATCCCAGGTCTATAAGGTTCCCTTGGACGAAGCAACCCATGGCTGCCGACAAGGAATCTTCTGTCAAGTTGGGTCGACTACCTCCTCTGACTAAGTAGACCAGGGACCATGATGGCCAGAGAACAGAACCATGGGATCTTGATCGGGTCTATCATTCGTTCTCCCACCATCCGCTTTAAGTGTAAGGTGGTGACATTTCAATTTTAAATATCAAATCCTCAAATATCTCAACCCAAATTTTCAAACATCCAAATTTCCCACATTTCTATGCCCAATGCTGCTACTATATGCCAGATAACACGTATCTCTACGTATATGATTGACGACTAGCCTTAATCAAAAGTTCTCTCTCATTATCGGGAGGGGTAATTAACTATAGGGGCTTGTGCCTATAGGAATCCAGAACTCAGATTATAAAGTCCTCGCAAAATGAGGGCGAAATCTCTGGGTAGTGTCTTATTATCTACAAACCCATATGCCTTCCAAAATTTACCCCGGAACTTAATCCGTTAAAACTCCCCCGAAAGATAAAAGCAATCAACGGGCGGAGGCCGGGGCCGAATTTTTGGAGCCCACACTCTCTTTCTAGCAATCAACTTAAAAGTATTCAAATGATAATATCACCAAATAATAAATTATTCTTTTATTAGATAAACAAAAATAAAGACCTTTTTTTCTTTTATTTTCTGCACTGTTCTCTTCCTTCATCCGTCAACTTCAGTAGCCCTCTTCCACGGCCAGAGCAATCAAGTTATTGATAACCCAATGACTTGCCACAGCCCTTCACATTTGATTCACCGCCCCTGCAAACATCTGGTTGAAAATAGTCACCACAGAAGAAGGAATCAAGAAGAAAAGCAAAAGCCAATAATAAGCTTGCCTGGATTGCTTGTTCCAGCTGCAAGCTTTCTAGGGATTTTATAGATACCACGAGGTGATAGGTATGATGACAAGTTGGCTGAGAACGCATCGGTTTGACTTTGACTTCAGATTTGATTGAAATGATATCCAAGATTTTTAGGGTTGCATTTTGATGTTGAAATCAAAGTTGTTAAGGAACTTATTCTTTACATTTAAACAACTGTTTCCCTTTTCTAACATCATTTTAACAATCGTAAAACACAACCTCCCATAGAATAAATTTAAATTTTATTAATGTTTTCTTAAATATTTTTTAATCTACCATCCATTCCTGATGAAGCATTCAATCCACAGCCCAGAATCAATCTTATCCCAACCATTCATGGAGTGTTCAATACAACAAATATGTAGAAAATTTGATAATTCAATTAATAAAAAAAAGCATGCTACTTCATGAGAGAAGAACCACCATACAACTAAATGCTTTATAACAAGAAAATTCAGGATATTAAAAATTGGGATAGATACTCCATGCAAAATGCTAACTCATGATATTAGAGTGTTCAGATCAAAAACGTTTTGCAACTTAATTTATTTTTAAGAAAACTAAGAGAAAAACCAAGTAATTTCTTGTTTGACACATGTATTCTTGTACACAGGGATATGGAAGAGATGGTTAAGAATTTGAGCATCCCTCCAACAGGTTCAAGTGATCTGCACTTCAATACACGATTCCCACAGAACAAATGGTGTCAATTTAAAGCATGCTTTTGGAAGCTATCGCTGTCATATTGGAGAAGCCCAGCATACAACTTCGTGCGCTTGATGTTTATGACAATCGTATCAGTATTTTTCATGGTACTCTTTTGGCAGAAAGGAAGAGATTTGTAAGCTCGTATTTCTCACTTTAACTTAACTTCTAGTGGATAAATCACATACATTAGGGAAACAAAACATGCATTGTAGAGAAGGATAACAAATCTACCAAAATTCATGTCTTAGATGGAAACTTACTCAACCATCTTGAAGAGAGATATCAATTGTCTATGGCACCAAAACCAGAAATAAAAAATGCATTTTACCTGTCTCTTACAATCATAGAGTAAAATTGTACAGGCAATAAACCAAGCTATTTTAGAAGAAGTTAAAAGAAACCAAGCTATATAGTAGAAAATGGAAGACATAATAAAGAGCATGAATGATAAATGATCATTTGAACAATATTCCCCATTAAAACATAGACAATAAATATTTAATAGCATGGTCAAAATAGATATGAAAACAATTGACACGAAATGATAAAGAAAGAGAGAGTTATGCATTAATGATTACTTGTCTCTTCAAATCAAGTTTGAAAATTTCCAAGTAGACGGAACTATACTAAATGAATATTCCATAATGGGAAAGCAATGCGAAAAAAGCATCAGCATTGTTAAGTAGTATATTAAAAAGTCTGTAACATGTGATGATGAGTACTAGATTAAAAAGTATCAGCAAAATTTAGAAATATTAGATAAAAAAGTCGATAATATGTCATACAAAACCCAAAACTTCAAAGAGATTCACTTGGTAGGCAGCTTCCAAGAGCAAAATTGTGTTAGCAAACCAGTTATTCTAGTATTAACATATTAAACCATTATCAATGAGGAAAAATAAATTTTACCATATTCTGGTATTAACATAATAACCCATTACCAATGAGGAAAAGTATATTTTACCATATTTTTTTACTCGGTAAACAAGAATCAAACATTCAATTTTATCAACAGAGCTTGATGTTAGCTTTTATTTTACAGAAAGTATTCAGTCATCTCACCTTGTGTCAGTACCACTTACTTACTTTTCTTTATTTGTAGACACAATGAACGTGACATTTTCAGTATAATGGGATCAATGTACTTAGCTACAGTCTTTTTGGGCATAATGAATTCCGTAACAGTTTTGCCAATTATTGCAAGAGAAAGGGAAGTCTTGTATAGAGAAAGGTTTGCCGGAATGTACTCTTGCAAAGCCTATGCCTTCGCACAGGTAAAATAATATATCAAGACAAATATAGATTTCCAAATCATATCAAAAATAAAGAACGTATATATTTGTTACCATATCAAATACTGGTCATTAAAATATGTTAACTCTACCCTATACTGCAGGTTGTAGTAGAAATTCCTTGTACTTTCACCCTGGCAGCAATATATGTGATTTCTACATACCCAACAATAGGATACTACTGGTCTGTATACAAGATCATTTGGTACTTCTATACAATATTTTGTGCTCTTCTATACTTCAATTATATGGGCATGCTGATCATGTCAGTAAGTCGAAGCACTCAAGTGGCTTCTGTGCTGCTAGCTGCTTGTTGCACGATGCTTAATCTGTTCTCAGGATTCTTGATGCCAAAACCGGTAATCCATAAATATCCCATGACTATATTTATTTTTTTATTACCAATGATGCAATAAAATATGATGAAAATTTGTCAACAAGAGTATATATTGCTTGTAATCCTTTCTGACCATATATTTCAAAATACCATGAAAATGTATTTGTAGATTAACTTTCAAAAGCTAGTGAAGAAAAACTAATTTAAAACAATTTTTATTTCACCTGAAACCTATGTGATTGATGTTCATGAACATAATTGAAAAACTTGAACACCTATGCACAACAAAATCAACAAATGTGATTGCATTAAAAAAGAATTAATATGTTAAAAGAACCATTAAATGTTAGTAATGGTTATCATTCTAATCATTAAGTGGAATATAAAATTCCAGACCGCTTGTTTGTCTTCAGCCAATCAATGGGAGCTATTATTAATGGATAATAAATACTTTGTAACATGTCTTGCGCCATCACCAAGAAACAATCTTAAAATAGAGCCACAACTAACAGCTCTATTGGTACCTATGGTCCTAGACTAGGATACCCAAAGTTAGGAGAGCGAAATAGGATGAAGATATGAGGAAGATCAAGAAACTGTTCTTATCTTCCCTTAGGGGGCGGGGGCACTTGGTCAAACCCAAACCAACTACTCTTGGGCGAACCAGGCACAGAGGACATTTCGGCCCCCTTATGGGCCCAGACGAGCTATATTTCATTAATTTGTTTTATGTTGAAGACGGTTTTAATTATTTAGAATATTCTTAGTTGTGTTATTATTGTTTAAGAAATACTTTAATTTTTTACGAAGGTTTCCTAATTCTATTTATGCTATTTAGGAAGGTTCCAATTGTTTTATAGCATGAGAGTTATTTAAGGGGAAGTTTTGTCTAGGATTATGATCATATATGTGCTAAGTTTATTTTCTAGGGGGGTTTGGTGTGAGTTTTCTAGTCGTGGCTAGGGTTTATGGGAGAGTCAATCACTATTAGGAAACCATCGTAAAGAACTCTCCCTTAATTATCCTCCTCCTTCATAAGAAAACAGCTCCCCAATGCCCACAAGGGGCCAAGACCACCCCCCCTCTACGGCCCCTAGTTTGGGCAGGGCTAGCTAGTCTAGGCTAGCCAATCCACCTCCCCTCCCCCCGCAACCACACTGTCCTTAAATTGGAAGCATGGGAACTGTCTGCAGATCTTCCTCAGACCCTCATCCTGTTCACACTCTTGTCTCAGGGCTTCCCAGTCTATAAACAATGTCTCCTGGCTCGAAGTGTGCTTATCTCCTATGCTCATCAAACTTCTTCTTCATGATCTACTGGACCCTCAACAAATATCCCTTGAGCTCAGCCAATATCCTGTCCCTTTCCTCTAAGTACTGATATACACTAAATATTGGTGTAGTGATATGCCCATAATGTATGAAATGAGGTGAATCTCTCCCATGGAGAATCCTAGAAGGGGTGGTTTGTGTTGTTAAATGGTACGAAGTGTTGTATCAATACTCGACCCAAGCAATCCACTTTGTTGAACTCTTTGGCATATCCAATATAAAGCATCGCAAATAAATTTCCATGTTTCTATTCACCACCTCCATATGGCCATCTATCTGGGGATGGTATGCCATGCTTTTCTTCAAGATTGTTCCCTGTAAATGGAACAGCTCCTTCAAGAAATGTTTGGGGAATACCTAGTCTCTATCTGACACAATGGACTCTGAAAAATTGATGTAAGCGCACCACCTCTCGTATGAAAGCAGCAGCCACAGAGACCATAGTATAAGGGTTCTTCAGAGAGATGAAGTGTGTACACTAGTTCAGACAATCCACCACTACCAGTATCACAGAAAATCTCTCCGAACGCGTCAACCCCTTGATGAAGTCCATCATCACCTCCTCCAAGTTTTGCAACTCCACCAAGTAGCCTAACCCTGCTCCCTGAATTGTCTTGACCATAGTTTTGAGTAAAATCATGGCTCTGCACAAGCTGACATCTCCTCGCAGCACAACCCTCTTCCCCTCCACCTGAATCTACATAATCAAAGATTTTCAATCCACCTTCGTCTCACCAATCGTCTATAACCACTTCATCCTTAGGATCACATCAATGACCCCAAATCCAAGGGAAGAAAATTCTCCACCATCTGTACTCCTTGGAGTGTCAACACCAACCTCTTGCAAATCCCCCTACTTCTTTCCACCTTCCATGTCCACATCATGACTCCAAAGCTCTTCGTGTCCACCAACTTCAATCCCAACTGATCCGCGACCCGATTTGAGATGAAATTGTAAGTAGCCCCGCTATCCACCAAGACCACCACTGGTCACTCTCTGATCTGTCCATTCACCTTCATGGTGTGATTTGGAGTAAATCACACCACTGAGTTAGGGATACTTCCACCACATCAAGGTGTAGATGCTCTCCTCCCGCTTCTGCTTCCTCCCCCAACTCATTGTCAATCTCCTCCTCTTTACAAACTATAAGAAACAGGAGTGTGCGGTCCTTACACCGATGACCTGGCGCATACTTCTCACACATCAGATGCACAAACCCTTCACTCT